GCCTCTCTGCTCCTATGGTGCTGCTTGGCCTGCTGTGTTCATCCAGCCCTGCACCTTGTTGTCTCGGATTCCCCAGCATCTGCAGTTCCTACTATCTCCCATTGAAACTTTGTTGTCCAGTAGATACTGATTTTAAAAAATTTGAACCTCTACTGAGTAACAGTTGCATGGACCTTGTTGCCTTCCAGTGGCTTTTCTCAATGGCCACTATAAGGTTGGACATTGTATGCTAAAATTATGATAATTAAAATGAGATAGTAATCCATGAATGGATTCAAATAGCACTGATCTATAACCTCCGCATGTTTTCCAGTATTAGGCAACAACCACGAAACATAATGCTGTTGTCAATCAGAATAAAGACTATTTTGATCACTATCTTAACAAATGGGTTTCAATACCTTTGGGAGAAGGGGGCATGAGGGAAGTGGGAATTTGGGCTTCATACTACAGGCTGATGTGAAGGAAGAGGAATCTTCTTCAGGGTGTCCTGATGGGCATGGGCACCCACCAAAGGTAGCACCCTTTTCCTTTCTGCCTTTACAAATAGTTTGAAATAAAAATGTTTTGCCTACACCCACTTGTCTGTCCATGCTAATAATTTTACAGTACAGGCAGCATAATATTGGAGTTGATGGAGCTTTTCATGAGCTCAATTGGATCTTAATTATTTATTTACATCTAGTGGTGTTCTGCTGATTTTGGCACCCAGCCTCAGTGTAAGGAGATTAGTTGGGTGAGAATATTGTCCTCCTTACATTGGGCTGTGACGAGACATGCAAAGTACACAAGGTAGGGGCATCTAATATCCAGATGGCGATCCAGGTTGTAGATATCACTGCCTTTTGTGGCATCTTATCTGAAAATTAGCTGTTGTGGCTCTGTATATTACAATAATGTGGCACTACAAAAGTACTTTACCCAAATCACGAGGGGCATGAATAGGGTAAATAGACAATGTCTTTTCCCCAGGGTGGGTGAGTCCAAAACTAGAGGGCATAGGTTTAAGGTAAGAGGGGAAAGATTTAAAAGGGACCTAAGGGGCAACTTTTTCATGCAGAGGGTGGTGCGTGTATGGAATGAGCTGCCAGAGGAAGTGGTGGAGGTTGGTACAAGAACATCATTTAAAAGGCTTCTGGATGGATATATGAATAAGAAGAGTTTAGAAGTATATGGGCCAAATGTTGGCCTAGATTAATTGAGGATATTTGGTAAGCATGGACAAGTTGGACCGAAGGGTCTGTTTCTGTACTGTACATCTCCATGGCTCTATGACACTCTAAAATGGTTTGTGACATCATGAGATCATGAAGGCCACCATATGACGAGAAGTTCTCATTTAAAAACATAGTATTTCATGTATGCGATAATCCTATTTCATTTTGAGTTTTTAAAAATGCTTCCTTTTACCTGGACCCACAACCACTTCCATCTAGAAGTACAAGTGCAGCAAGTACATGGGAACACCACCACCTGCAAGTTCTCCTCAAAGCTACTCACCATTGTGACTTGGAAATCTATCACCATTCCTTCACTGTTGCTGGGTCAAAATCCTGGAATTACCCCTCTAACGGCATCATGGGTCAGTGCACAGCACATGACTGCAGCGGTTCAAGAAGGCAGCTCACCTTCTCAAGGGCAACAAGGGAGGGGAACTAAATCTTGGCCAGCCAACGATGCCCACAGCCCACAAATGAATGAAAGAAAAAATTTAGCCATCTTCTGCTGGTGCTGTATGACTACGTGAAAGCAGAAGTGATTTCTGTTTGTTATGAATGAGTTCAGCAAAAAATATAAGGGCTCAAAAAAGCAAAGAAGTATCATAATTTTAATCCCATATGTCGATAGAAAAATATTTCTTCCACAAATGTTCTATTCGTGTTTAAGTAAGCCGTTTTATTCATCATGTATACAATTTTGAAATTACCCTCAATTATTTTATTATTTGTCATACATGCCAGTGAAATCCTAATTATTAGTCTAATTCCTGTCAGCAAGTGTTGCTTTACGTTACCAGAAATCCTCACTGCAATCTTTTACCTCCTTATATAATCCTTTGAGTGCTTAGAGACTTCAGAAACTTCCAAAGGTTGCACATGGTTTCTATCAAAAGACATC